TCGGTGAGTATTTATTCCTAGGCGACCGTCTCGGAAGCAGCGACTGTTGTACAAAGCTGTGATTCCTTAAGCTGGTTTACATACTCTGAACGATTACCGTAATAATACAAAAAATAAGTGAATCGACTAAATGCGGTGTAAACTTTTTGCATACACTGTTGTCTATTTCGCAGAGTCGGTTTATCTTTGAAGTGGCATATAAATTCGGCACTAACTTCAAGTACATTCACTCTATTTCAGCAGTATCCTGACTGAAGCAAAGCCGCGAATGACTCGGTACGTCCTTTCTGTTATTTTTCCTTTTTTCTATTCCGTCCTGTATTATAGTCGATCCCGGAGGGGAGTGTTGCATTGAATTAAGTACTAAATTGGTGAGAAAATTTCCAAGTACAGTTAGTATAAATAGAGAGTAAAAATTGGCCACATACTTTGAGCTGGTTGTGGGATACTTGCAAAGATAGGGAAACAGCGGAAGATGAGATAAAGTTCACCAGTAATTCTCCAAAGACTTAAAATGTCGGCCGGTATATTACAGGGAACGTCATAACGATTCTACTTTCAAGCTGCATAAGTCAGAAAACGATAAAAATAGTCTCCCTAATCATCTCTCTGGTCACTTCCCATTCGAAATTGATACACTCTACCTGGCAATTCAAGTGAGAGATATCCGTCTCAGACCAGCTTATCGTATTAGACCAGAGATAAACGGCAGTTCGCATCCCGATGTTTCTGCAAGAAGGCAATCCTGGTCGTGGCCATTTGTTTTGCAGTTCACTCCTAATCGGTGAATCATTGGGACCTCAATCTATTAACGAGGTCTGCTAGCAGCTAGCTGATATGAGATGGTAGGAACTTTATTGGGCTGGATAGGACAATTTTAGAAGATGCTTTTATGGAACACAGTCAAGATTATATGATGTTTTTAAACCCTGAAACATGTCAAATAAGTTAGTTATTCCATGCATTCGGAGAAGAGCGGGTTAAAGGGTTATTCAGTTGCTTCTCTCTTGAAGAAGAATTAATCCTACCAAGTTAATCGCTATTTTCGCACTTCTCTCCGGGATGCGAATATTACCACAAGGGGCAGAAAGAAGGTCTCGCTAACATCATCATTTTATACGCATTTCTCGACAAAGTAGGATCATGTTTGATACTTTCCGAAGCCAGATGTTTCGCTAGGAACATCACAGCTGCATGTGTCTCTCACTAACCTCTCTAATGATTTGTCTAAAAAGTTGAATCATCCATATTCAGAGTCGCGAGAACGCCTCCGGTGGAAGAGTCTCCGATGGCCAGGATTGGACATGAGCGCAGAAAACGCCGCTTCAAGTAAGTGCAATGAAACATATTCTCGATAGAAAATATGTAGCATATGATATGCATGGTAATAGGAAGAAATCGTTACACCTTGATATTTCACAGGTTCCCTCGTCCGTTTGTAGAAGTTAAAGTCGGCATGGGCAAAGCATCTGCAAAGAAACGGTTCAATCTTGGTTAGGTAAAGTCAAACTGGTGATTTCTCTATCCTACTATCAAGAGATTTCGAGACATATCATTGAATTCCTGTCTGATTGCTAGCACTTAAGTAGACGGACATTTTTGTGCTGGGGGTAAGTTTAAAAGCTATTATATATTCCCCATATGCATGGTTTTTCATTGTTTTGGAAATACTTGCTGTTTATTCGATGGAGCTACTTGTGCTCTACCCAAGTGTTTTGGTCGGCTTCTCAAGTGAAACTACTTCCAATTTATCTTTGTCAACGGGATGAAATTTGTTCGGCATCTTCTTCCATACTATACGGGGCGCTTTGAGAATGGTTAGGAAAACTGTTCAATAGGTAAAAGTTTCTGTTAAAGTCATTAAGAATCACCTTATGGATTGAGATTAATATTGACAGTAATTTTCCTTGAATGAAGGTAATTGTCAAAACTCCCGAACTCATTCTCATCCTTTCTCAATAGCCCCGCACTGTTCTTGGGAAGGAAACGCCCTTGCTAGCGTTTTTTCCTTGTAAGATGACGCTTTTATCAGCACCCACAGTTCCTGAAAGAGCACCAAGCAAACAACTAATCCACTTCCTACCAGAACGATGCTACTCTGCTCACTATACTGCTTCATTTGCAATCCGATATGACAGTTGACAAACAACGAAATTTCAGTTCGCTGCTGGAATCTTGAAGAAAACGATTTCCTCAGAACACCAACTGGATAAAACTTTCTATCAATGCTAGCCTGTTGTCATAGTTGTGAATAGAAATAATTCGCTCATACAGGGTGTCGAAAATTATGGGCGCCAAAATTCAGAAACTTCTGAGCTGGGAATAATTTACCAAATTCACTTCCTTCGTCATTAATTTGTTGCAAGAGCAGGTTTCCGCAATATGCGTGGTTACTGAGGTAAAACTCCCAATATCTTTTAGATGGCGGATGCTCATTCAATGCCGCTTGCAATCATTGGCATGCGAGAGGCGGAAGGGCATTATGAAATTGCTTGTGATTTCTATAATAGCCGTACGGAAGGCTAGTGAACGACATAGAGAAGAAGATTTAATTGAAACAGGTTCCGGTTTCGTCAAAAAGAATTCGACCAATCAGAAAGGTAGGAAATTCCTAAAACGGCATTCTCGGGAACTTTTATTGTTCTAAAAGTAATGTTAAGCGGTACATCCATTCCACAATGTTCTTGAAGGTGCGTCACTCTTCTACCCACTGGCTTTCACCTTCCCCGAGTTCCTGTTACTTACGAGCACTGTATTCCCCGTATCAGTGCATTCTCCTAAAGAAAGGCGGATTAAGCGAAGGCGAAACTCTTCCATTGAAATGTGTAGAGATTGGGCGAAGTACAACGAACACGACCGTAGGCAATAAAAGAACAAATGTTTTAATTTTTAAGGAAGCTTCTAGCGTAGTCAATTATAAACTTTCTGGTCCGTATTGCTCTTCAATAATAGCAGAGAATGAACATTCCGACTCTGCTGATAATGTATACGAGGTTCTATCAGCACATTCGATATAATCATTTCCTTGCAGGTATGGAAAGCACAAAATAGCCATAATATTCCGAACGCGACCAAACTAAATGCACCGCTGTATTCGTCACCTTCCATTTGGCAACTAGCGAAAGAGCACTTGATTCTCTTTCTCAAACACTTCTTACAACCCTCTACTGTTAGAAATTCGAATATATTACGAGAATAGTATAAAGGAGACATTACACAATGAATTGAAAAATAATCACAAACAACCCTTGGTATTATTACATATCAGGTGGAAAGATAAGTCCTGCAACAATGACATGTTCCTTTTCGAAGGAACCAAAGCCCTTTTCAGATGCTTTCGGGCCGGACTGCAGTAGAACATGCTTGGAGAATTCGAAAGTGGACGTAAGCGGGCTTCGTGAAGGTTTTTGGGCCACTGGACTCTATAACGGACCAAGCTATCGTCCGACCTACTGTCTGCTACGAATTTCTGCAGAGACACTCTACCAGAGCCGCTGCGCTTAACATCTGCTCTGTCTTCGAGTAGGGAGTTATTAACTATCCGACGGTGACTCGATGCCCCTACGGAAACAAGAACAGGCCTTCAGGAAAAGAATGTCCCGTTGTGTTGCTGGCGGGACTGTGAAGGAACCCCACTAAGAGCTGCTCGACACTGATAACATGGTGACGGCCACAGTTTACGCTAACAGCTGCAAAAAGTGGCCGACATAATGCGAGAGCTAAGCCCAAAAAGACAATGTCTCCCCACTTCACAACAAAGCCCGCTGCATGTGGCCAACGTCAAAAAATTATGGAGCTGGAATGGTAAGTGCTGCAACATTCGGCTTACTCACCGAACCTAGCGCCTTCTGTTTATCAAATATTCAGAGCATTGAAGCACCATCTGAATGACAAAAAATTTGGTGATCGTCGTAAACTCGAAAATAAATCGACCACTTTTTTTCGTTCGCCGTGAATCTGAAAGGCAGGGATCGAGAAACTTCCCGAAAGATGGGCACGTCTCCCAGATAATAGTGGTGATTATATTACGGCGTGAAGGTTCTGTTTAACAAAGAAATATGAGATTCAAAAGTTTGCCCTAAATGTTGCAAAACTTCAATTCCAAGATAAGACATTTATGCAGATCGACAGTATTAGAAGGAATGACTGAAGATTACCATCAATAAATTCTCTCACCTCGGATGAAGACTTGATTTTGATTGAAAAAAGGAGGGATTCTCTAAAAATGCTCTTGTGGGTCATACTCTTTTAAATACCAGACAGTTTGTTGGTGATAATAAAAGCTTCAAGATGTCGTTTTTTTAAAAATAATACATCACGTGGGCACTTATGAATGCTGTTTATATTTCAGATTCAATTCGTCCAGTATTCAATAGACATTGAAATGTTAGAGGGCTGCACGGTGCTTCCAACCCTTCCGTTATTCCCGCCCACCGTTAGACCCTTTTAAAAGGGCTCCAATTGCACATCATCAGTGCCTACAGTTTTACATTTTTATCAATGCCTCTCAAGCACTACAAACAACCTATCAAGTTCGCTATCCACAATGTGGCAATCCGAACGGTTCCTTGGAAGCCAATGAAAGAATAGATAATCCATAAATTTGTATCCTTAGCTGTCATAAGATTGCAAGTACTATCTCCGACTGATTTTGCTATTTGGATTCGAGCTTTCTCGTTCCCTGCTAATACTTGGATTCAATTCGCTATCTTCATTCGGCAGAAAATTATTGTAAATAAGTGAGCCTTTATTCAGATGACTATCAGTCTGGATAACATGTTTCACCGTTTTTTTTTGTGATAAGCATCTCAACAAAAGGGGCCCATATGATTTGGGTGGTCTTATATGGTTTCAGGTTTCTGCTACTTTGGGTTACTTCGTATCTACCATCTCCTAGAATTCTTGTGAATCTCGCCGAACATGTACACTTTTCCGCCTCTACGAAAGATATAAGCAAATGACTTTTGACTTTTGAGTAAGCGATCCTTGTCATTGGAACGGGCTGTACTTCAGGAGCAACTGAATTCAGTACCATTCGAGTTGCTCATCAAACTCAACCCGCTCAAATGAGTGTGATCGCTTACTCTGTTGGAAATAATGCCGGAACGAACCTAACTGATTCCTCCGTCTATTTTGGATATCCTTTCTACCGTTGACAACAGAGGTCTTTGGTTTCTGCGTTCTTATCCCTGTCCCGCGCTTGTTTCTTGTGCGAATTTGCTCTAAAAAATTGACTTCTTTTGTTTTTGCCACTTTTTCAATTGTCACTTTCAGAGATCTTTTTTGATGATACTATATGATGCCAGGCGCTGTTTTCAGGTTCAGATTGGGCATAGGGCAATGGTGCAACTAGCTCTTCTTGCTGCTACCATTTACGCTCTAATCTTCAGGTATGTCATGATCACTTCTTAAATGCTCTATATGCTTCTTGTGAGTCCTCATTCCTAAACAACCAATCCGGAAAGAGCGAGTGTCGTACGTTTTGCATCCGCTGTGACTCTAATGCTGCTACCGGCGTCGTAGAGCCGGTTTATCTCTAATGTGGTATCTGAATTTGGCACCATCTTTAAGTATATTCACTCTATTGCAGCAGTTTCCTGATTGAAGCAAAGCCACCAATGACTAGGTACGTTTCTTCTCGTCTTTCATTTCATGAGCTTCTAAATGGCGGATCACTCGGACCTCAATCCTTGAAAGAGGTTCGCTTGCAGCTTGCATTGGGTTTTCGGATGGAAAAGCCAGATAAGCGCAAGTTTCCAGAAGATGCCACTATGCAACGCATTCACGACCACATGGCGTTTTTAATTCTTAACTCGACCGAATCGAGATAAGGTAGTTTTCCTCAGTATTGGGCAGTTACCAGCTTACATTTTACCAGTTNCTTATCCCTGTCCCGCGCTTGTTGCTTGTGCGAATTTGCTCTAACCAATTGACTTCTTTTGTTTTTGCTACTTTTTCAGTTGTCACCTTCAGAGTTCTTTTTTGATGATACTATATGCTGCTAGGCGCTGTTTTCAGGTTCAAATTGGGCATAGGGCAATGGTGCAACTAGCTCTTCTTGCTGCTGCCATTTACGCTCTAATCTTCAGGTATGTCATGATCACTTCTTAAATGC